CCCCGCCCAAAAAAAAAAAAAAAAAAAAAAAAAGAAGAGCCTCCAATGTAGGAATTACCGGCTAAACCGTTTCTACAAAGAACATACTGAATCCACACAAATTCTTCTAGACCACCCCAAGAAGAACGTTCCCCTGCCCATCCCGGCAATAGACAAGGGATTTTGCGTTAAGAATCTGGCTGTAGTTGGTAACGCAGGGTTCACACGTGGAGTATAGCATGCCAGCTGGAGAGCACCAACTGAGCAGCCTCCCCTTCCCCTCAGCTGTTCCTGAGAGATCAACAGGAGTCACAACATCATCCTTACCAACGCATCACCATCACTAAGGTAGTGGTGAGATAGCCTTTCTTCACAAGAAGAAAGGGCAAAGAGCTAGGTGATCATTAATCAGAAAATTTCAAAGGTTGGATTCAAATAATATTAAAAATGTATAAATGCTATATATCTTCCCAATGGGCCTCCTTGAGACCAATCTACATTTGATTCACATTAAAATACCCAAAGAACTCTTCCTTCACAGCTCCACATGGGAGCTTTCCCCATACTGCTCTCAGGAGAAACCAAAAGATTTGGACCTTCTACTTTTGACACTGAGGTTGGGTTATACGGACTAGTTTTTATTCCTCGAAGGACTGGGAGATTATTTCACATAAAAGGTGTGGCTGAGCAAGAAACGTAACAACAAAATAAAACAAAACCAACCCCCTAACAGTTATCACAGCAATACATGGATTTATATGGTGGACCTTCCCCGAAGTAGAAGGTCACCGTGAAGCATCAGGGAACCAACAGGAACGGAAATAAGATCAAGACAGACGTTTACGTAGTCTTGTTTATATATTTCTTTGTTCCCACATTTTTAAAGTTCCTCACTCTATTTCTGAATCTTAATGCCGACAAAGGTAAGAACTGTGTTCAACATGAATATTAACATTCTCTGGTGTTAAGCCTAACGTGGGCAAAAGTGTAAATAGACAAGAAAACAGAATTTACAAACAGTGGATATAACAGATCAAACGCATTTCTGCGCGATCTAAATTACTGAATGGGTAACTAAAGGAAGAACGAAACACATTTTCTTTACATTTGAAAAGAAAAAAGGCTCTGTGCCCCACTCAACTTGGCTTGAAAGAAAAACCAAGTAGTGCAACTCTCAGGAATTTATGCCAGTGTCCTCTTCCTTTTTTTCTTGTTGTTGTTATTTTTTAAGTCTTTGAACACACAGGTCCATTATCCCAACTTAAGTGCTGGGCAACGTCCTTCATTTGGCGAATAGGAACTGCAACAGTCACAGGTGTAACCGATCCAACCCGGATGGTAGGAAAACCAAAACCAAACACTTTTCAAAGTGACAGTTCTCTGCTGGCTGGGATTCTCTCCAGGGGCTTTGGCCCTGAGGTTAAGTACTGGGGAGGCCCCTGCACACACTTTTTGTGTGCGCTGGGCTGGTGCACGGTCTCTGCAGCCTGGACCTACGACTCCTGGGCTTGTGCCACTTCTTGGCCTGTTCTTCTGAGATTGCCTTTAACCTTCACAAACTCTGGGGCATTTTCTTGCTCTTCTCGCAATTTCTGCTTCTCAAGTTCAAGCTAAACAGAATTCAGAAACAGGAAAATTATTTACAAATCATTTACAAATGGAGAGGCTTTCCAAAAACACTGCTCCTCTTTCCAAAGTCCCTAACGACTTCATTTCCCAACAGAAGGAAGTTTCTCCTGGTCTCCGCTTTAAATATATTTATATTTATATTTTTACATATGTGCCTGGATCTAGGAGCTGGGGTAAGAATTCTGTACAGGAGCAGCAGCTGACTGGTTGTTGCTGAAATACCGAGGGACGACGAGAGCCTAAAGATTAAGGCTAAGACTTAAAACAGGAGCCGAGGGCAACACGCACTTGCTCCACAGTCTTAAGTGAAGCTGAACTTCACTCAAATGCTTGAGCTCCCAGCACTGGGCTGTGCATTCTGTGATATTCCCTGGTTTTGGCTTTGCCTCCTGAATCCCTTGTAGGTTCTCAACAGAATCCTTCCCCTTTATCTTGAGTGTATTTTAGTCCATCTGCGGACACCTGTCTCAGCTTTTCCTTTCATGGTATAAAAACATTTACATCCGACGTGTCTGGGAAATTCTGCTTGTTCCAGCATCCTTTATTTCTCAGGACAAGATAAGTCAGAGAAAGACAAGTACTGTATGATCTCTCTCACATGTGGAATCTAACAACAGTGAAATCGTAAAAGCAGAGGGTAAAATGGTGACTAGCTAGGGGAATGGGAAAGATGCTATTTAAGGGTACGTACTTGCAACTAGCAGAGAAGTAAGTCCTGGAGACCTAATACACAGTACGGGGATTATCGACAACGAAACGATTATAAACGTGAAAGTTGCTAAGAGACTAGAACTTAACTGTCCCCACCACTAGAAGAAATGATAATTATATGATGCCACAGAGGTGTGAGTTAGCACTATGATGGCAATCATACTGCGATACAAATGTACCAAATCAATATACTGTACCCCTTAATCAACAACAACCAAAAAAACACCTTTCACCCCAATCACCCCTACCTGCTCCAACTTCTGCTGCCGTTTTAATAGCTCTATTTCCAAGTCAGATTTCTTCTTTTGTGCTTCCTCTTCCTTCTGCTTTATTACTTGATCCCGTTTTCTCTTTTCCATCACTTTCTGCAGCTCTGGCTTATTCTGAGGGGCAAGTCCTCTGCAAAGAAACATTAACAAATCACTGTGCTGTACACCTGAAATGAATGCAGCACTGTAAATCAACTATACTTCAAAAAACTTTTTTTAATTAAAACTAGTAAAAATAAAATTTTTTAATTAAAAACATATGTAAAGCATTAACAACATTTAAAAGTTTTAATCTAATGGATGCATCTTTCATGAATAGAAATTTTAGGCGTCAACCACAGAAGAGGGGTCTAGTGACCTAACATGACTGTGATGCCTACCATCAGCTAACAGTCGACATTGGGGGCCTCAGAAATCCATGAGCATGAAAGAAAGGGCAAGAACGCCTTCCAACGGTAAGCAAAACCCATCACTTGATAAAATCGTTCTGAGTGCCTACCGTATGCCAGACGCTAGCTCATGCAAGGGAGGTTAGTGCAGGAGGTTTGGGTGGGGAAGGTGGGGAACAGCATGCTCATTCGGTGGGTGGGACGGTCACCCACCATGGAGAGGAAGATGTTGAAGCTTCCCAGGCTCGAGGCCCTGACCCCAAGTACTACATGCAGCCTTGAGAGAAGCTAGCACAGAAACTTCAACAACTAAATGGCCCAGAAACCTCTTCCAACCCTTCACGTTTCAGACTTGGGAGAGGATTCTTGCACATCTAAAAGGCACGTCCAAGGTTCCATCATTGCTAGGGGCATGGCCCTGGAGAACCTGGATCCCGAATCCCAGCCCAGTGCTCTGGAACCATTTCAACTGCTGACAACACACGGAAGTCAGGCTTCAGGGGACCTCGACATTGGGGAGAGATCAATCAGGCTGCCATCCCTTCAAATGGGGTGAAACAAAACCCAAACTCGGGCCATTCCCTAGCAACCCTCATCTGAAATGTCTGAGGCAGGTCAGGCGAAGGACGACGTTCACCGGCATTTTCGCAGGTGGGATTTCCGTCTATGTTAATGGTCAGCTGGGACTTGCCTGGTCTCCATGTCCTCGGCCAATTCCTCAGGATTTCTCTAGTCCGGGCTCCCCCTCTTCACCATCCTCTCTCTCTCGAGCCAGTCTCCACTAGCCCTTGAGTCATCTCAACTCGTTATCAACTTTGACAATAAAAAAGAAACAGAAAAAGAAAGAAACAAACAAAAAAATACACAAAGGGCTTCCCTGGTGGCGCAGTGGTTGAGAGTCCACCTGCCGATGCAGGGGACACGGGTTCGTGCCCCGGTCCGGGAAGATCCCACGTACTGCGGAGCGGCTGGGCCCGTGAGCCATGGCCGCTGAGCCTGCGCGTCCGGAGCCTGTGCTCCGCAACGGGAGAGGCCCCAACATTGAGAGGCCCACGTACCGCAAAAAAAAAAAAAGAAAAAAGCCACAGAACAGGAAGAACGCTATCACTGCCAGGCAGCCCAGGGGGTGAGTGACAATGTCATCACACGTGTCCACACACACACACGTGGCCCCAACCAGCACCGGTGCTTTTCTGGGCTGCGGGAAACCGGTGCTGCTGAAGCAGCCTCAGACCACCGAGGTGGCCTGAGCGCCTTCCCACACGCCTGCTGACCTTGCTGATGACACCCGGGAGTCTGCAGATCAGGCCCGTCGACCTCCGTGGCTGTTCTCCACTCTACTTCAATCAGCTAATGCGACTAATCAACTAGGAGTCATGTGAGTTGCCGTTAACTGAAAGAATTTCCGAAACGTGCTCTGGCTCTAAGAATCTCAACACCACCCTTGCCTCAATCTCTTTCAAGTTCACCCTATCACATCCGTAAAATAATCCTCAGTGTCACACTTCCACATCTATCTAGTGGTGATTTTTAAAAATTCTGGCATCTCTCCTCTCTACCTCTTTTTAAGATCATAATAAATGATTTTGAAAAGTTGCTGTTTACAGAGTAAAGATCAGTAGATTCCATCACTGAAGATAAAGGACACAGAGTTAAAATAACATACATGTCTTCCCTTTCCCAATTTTCATTAGCAGAACTTTCGGTTTTAAAAAAACAGAAAGAGGGGTTTCTCTGGTGGCGCAGTGGCTAAGAATCCGCCTGCCAATGCAGGTGACACGGGTTCGAGCCCTGGTCCAGGAAGATCCCACATGCCACGGAGCAACTAAGCCCGTGTGCCACAACTACTGAGCCTGTGCTCTAGAGCCTGCAAGCCACAACTACTGAAGCCCGCGAGCCACAACTAATGAGGCTGCATGCCACAACTACTGAGCCTGTGCTCTAGAGCCCGTGAGCCACAACTACTGAGCCCACGTGCCACAACTACTGAAGCCCGCGTACCTAGAGCCCATGCTCCGCAACAAGAGAAGCCACTGCGATGAGAAGTCCGTGCACCGCAACGGAGAGTGGCCCCCGTTCGCCACAACTAGAGAAAGCCCTCGCGCAGCAACGGAGACCCAACACAGCCATAAATAAATAAATAAATAGATTAAAAAAAAAAAACAGAAAGAAATATTAAGTTCAGCCATATTTCCAGTGAAATAAAAGAGATGGGTTATTTTTGCTATTTACAACTTATTTCACAGTTATTAAGATCGTATGAGGAGGACAGAAGTATAGACAGACTATTCTGGAAATTAAGTCTTACTCAGTGCAATAAGAAAAGTTGCTAATGGTACTTCACTCCAGTAGACTTAAGTGTCATTGAGCACTGGAAAATGTTTGTAAATAATCTGAGTAAAGACCCACGCAGTTTCATGACTATTAAAAAGTCTCAGGATGACAGTACAGACAGAGTTAAGGGATTTAAATTTTAGGATTAAGAATTTAGCTACCTGCATAATTTAAATTTCAAACTATAATTCACTGGTGAAATTAACTTCAACCCTTATTAAGTGCTTCTGGCTTATGCAAAAGCTGTTGAACAAACTCTGATGTATGACGCATTAAGCTGGCATTCTATCACAACACGTGAATGGGTTTAACTAATATACGGTATGCGTTTCGTGTTCAAAGATTTTACACAGTGGTGCAGTAAGATAAAATATTTAGTAACACAAAACTCAGGAAAATGGTGCTTATATGATAAATGTCCTTCACTTATAATAGTCAAGAAGTCATACAAATTTAGTTAATATTTTATCAAGCAGCTCACTTAACTTTCTATGCTGAATGGAAAAAGTCAAGCACTGCCTATGTGATTCTCTGAGTCTAAAACTGGATCAGGCTGCAGAGATAGCAAGACAGAAATAAGCTCCAAATTTCATAAAAATTACAGTATCAGTCTCTGCATGACGTTGATTCTCTTTAATCAATTCAATTAACAAGAACTTTCAATCCCTTTATGATTGACAACTGCTTATGACCTGGGGACCAAGAGTTATTCCCGAACTGCTTCTCATGACTATCACAGTGGACCAAGCCAATTTTTAAAATTAATATGTGCTCTTTGGAAAAAAAAAAAAAAAAAGAGGTCAGGTGTTATATACATACATGCAAGATAAAAAGTGAAAGCAGGGCTTCCCTGGTGGCACAGTGGTTGAGAGTCCACCTGCTGATGCAGGGGACACGGGTTCGTGCCCTGGTCTGGGAGGATCCCATATGCCGCGGAGCGGCTGGGCCCGTGAGCCATGGCCG